AACTTCTCAAGTTGGCACAATCAACAACATCCTAGCGTGGTAAGGGCCTGTCCTTTACACCCTAGGATGTAAAACTGCTGCATTACTTAGTTAAGCTTCTCAACTTCATGTGGACACAATGTATCAGCCATAACAGCAGAAAATTTAATTTTATAAAGCAGTGTTTAATATTATAACATTACATTCTTGTTTTAAATTTCAAATATGTATTGATCTTCATTGCACTGTATTAAATAATACTTCTCTAAACTGTTAGAGATAAGATGAGTTTTCTTTTTAGTTTATAATTTTCACTGTTTTGGTCGTGTAAAAAGTCAGTTGCAAATAACTGTATAATCTGTGCTAACATATCAGTGTGGGCATTCAGTAAAGTTAATTGAAAGAGTTTATTACAGTTACTGGTTAAAGTGATATGAACAGGTCGCAAACCACTGGAAGTGGTTGCTACCGGTGATGCTATGCTGAGCATCAAAGTTAAGTCAGCAGGAAAGTATAGCTGGAGGTGCTTTTAATCTACTGTGTATGTATCTGAACGATTATATTTTTTTAATTTTATTTTATTTTATTGAGAAACAAATATCAATGAGACAGTCTCAAAGCTGATTAATAGGTCAGTTTCAATAATTAATACCTTGTACATTGTTATCTTCTTAGTGATTATCCATCCATAGTACAAGAAGCAGACAGGATATCCTGTCTAAATAGTGTTAGTACAAATCTTTATTCTCATTGAATTAAGCAAAAGTAACTTTATATCTATCCTAACTATTCTGTATATACAAATACAAAATGGTCCTTCCTTTGTATCCCCTTTTTTTGTTTAGTCCTGTCAGATGTGTATTCTATTGGCATCTAAATACTATAGGTGCTTGAATTCAGCCAAACAATCTGACACAGGCTAGCAGTCAAAAGTAGTGGGTTATCCACAGAAGTTGTTGACTTGAGCCTTTTACAGCTCAGCATATTAATATGGCTTTACTTTATATATCTCGTTTTTATACTTTTCTGCTGGATGGTTAAGACCAAGATAAATCAAGACCGATATAACAAGAAATTTAACTTTTGTATCTGATAAGGTCAGTCAAGTCCCCTCAGGATTTATCCTGTAACCCTGTACTGCAATTTGCAGATCCTTTGTCATTGTCAGCCATGTGGATGAGTCATGGCCATTGCTTGACCAATTTGCTCTCTGTGAAAGCCTGAGAGAATGTTTTCTCTCCATGTGACTCTCCTTAGGCACACTATACATCATTGATCACTTTCCTCTGTGGCTCCATAATCTCCTTGATCAGAAAATTTAGGGCACAATTGAGTTACATGGTGTTAAGAGTACAGGTTCTCCTATGTCCTCAGTCTTCACTGACCTTGAAAGGCTAGGGCCAAAATGTTGGTGGACCTTGCAGCCCTTTCTTTTCTCCAGTTTTTGATCTGTAAACTTACGTTGTTAACCCTCCAGAAGAGAAGCTTATTTTTACCCCACAATATATGCATGAACGATTATAAACACAAGCACAACTGGGTTTGATGTTCCAGATTTTAGCTTATTTTTTTCTTTGATATTGTTAAGACAGCATTCTATTGGTTATTCATTAGAAGACAATCTACTCTTAAAATAACTGCTCCTAACATGTGTACTGTAGTTCTACATGATGGCGCATGCCTGTAATGCCAGCACTTGGGAGGCTGAGGCAGGAACATTGCCTTGAGCTTGAGGCCAGCCTGGAGCACACAGAGAGTTCAAGGCCAGCATGAACCACAGCAAGGTCCTGTCTCAAAAACCAAACCAAACCAACTAAACAGCTCCAGAGCTGGCCAGATAGCTCGGTGGATTTAAGCACCTGCAAGCAGGTGCAGGGCCTGGGGGTTCGATTGGATCCCTGGGCCTACCGTGCCATCCCTGCTTCTGGGGCATGCTGAGATGGCAATTGAGACTGGGCATGGAGGCGTGCGCCTATAATCCCAGTTCTTGGGAGCATCACTAGGAGTCCTATCTAGTAGTGAGACCCTGAACACCCTGTAGACCCTTCCCTAAAATACAAAAATGAAACAACCCCCCCAAAAAAAATAAAAAAAAAACACTAAATGGCTTCTGTAAATCCACTGGTTGTTCATTTGAAGATGTTCTCTGTTAGCTTTTAATTTTTTCTTTTATTCTTAAATGTTCTATAGCCTTATTTCCCTGCCTTTGCTACTTAACTTGTTATCCGGAGAACACTAATCTGAAGATCCTTGTCTTTTAATTGTAGAAAATTCCTTTTATTTTCAAATATTTGTTTCTCTATCATGCCCTCTATTTTTGTTGTTGTTATCATTTGTTTTGAGGCAGGATCTCAGTATGCAGTGCAGGCTAGCCTTGAACTTACTATGTAGCCCCAGCTGGTCTTGAACTCACAGTGATTCTCTGCCTTAGCTTCCCAAATGCTGAGATTATAGGCCTGCCCCACTTCACTGGCATCCTGTACTTTTAAACCCCAGAAATAATACTAGATGTTTATTTTTACTAATTCTTTCTTGAGTATACCCAAACTGGAGTTTAATTTTATATTTGTATAAGTACAATTTTTATTTCTAAAATGACAATGATGGTGATTTCAGTGCTGGGAATCAAACCCAGGACCTCGGGTGTAATGGGCAATCCCTAACACCAAGTCACATCTCCAGACCTAGCTTTCTGATTTTTGTTTAATTTTCAGTAGTGGGCATTGAATCCAGAGAGCACAGAGCTGTATCTCTGCTTCCTCCATCTCATCCTCTCCCCTTTTTGGTATTGGTTATTACACCTAGGGCCTTCAAACTTATCAACATCCCTAAACAATTTTTTAAACATTCATATTTGAAGATAGGGTCTCACTAAATTTTTGTTTCCCAGGCTGGCCTAGAATCAGTGATCCACTTGGTTCAGCCTCCGGACTAGTAACTGGAATTAAAGGCTGTACCACTATGCCCCAGCAAGCTTTCTCATCTTTGGTGTGACTGTATGACTTTTCCTTGCAGGGAGGCCAATAGCCTACTTCACCAACTGCAGCTTCAGGTGTGAGTTCGGCTATCATGGAAAGGTTTACAGTTACTTCATTCATTCATTTACTCAAGTAAATGAAAGTACTTTTGGTGCCTTCCTTAAAATTTTATTTTAGGACTGACCTTAAGTAACAGCGATAACCAAATGAAATAGATTGAGTTCATCATTAGTCAGTGATTACTAATATAAGAACTGATGTTAAGAGAAACCAAAACTGAAACAACTTTGTGGGCCCCAGGATTATCAGGGGTTGTTAGCACTGGGTGCCTAAAGAATAAACCATCTCTATTGATCTGAAGATCTTTGTCTGTCTTTAGTTCAGCCAACATTGTTCTAAAAAATCTCAACAATGAACAAAACTGTGATGGCCTAAACCCAGACTCTTAGCATAAGTATTTTTTTTAATCTATTTTTTAAAATTTTATTTATTTATTTGTGTGTGTGTGGCCAGCTCAGCCCACCAGGGGGCGGGGTTGGCTGGCATGTGGTGCTGGGGGATTGAA